CTTGGTTCAGATGTGCCCGGGACCTCACACTATCATGAAAAGCAGAAGCGGTTGGTAGGAGGGTCAGAATCAGGGAGAGAATGGAAGGTGCGCCCGGCTGCAAAGATGAAGGAGGATGAGCTAAAGGGAAACAGGCACTTCCTGAGGCTGGAAATGAACGCTGATGGGCCTCCAGGGGATTGCCCTGGACACCCCATGCCTATCCTCTGCAGACTTCCAACTGGAACAATGTCACAGTATTTGTGGTCACTTGAGGCAGGTAACTTGGTATACTTTAGGATTGTAATATCACTGCCTCCCTGCTGCTCCCCTTCTTCCTCCTCCTCCTCCTCCCCTTCCTCCTCCTCCTCCTCTTCTTCCTCCTCCTCCTCTTTCTCCTCCTCCTCTTCCTCCTCTTCCTCCCCCTTAGAAAGGCAGCTTGGGCTGGGGGAGGTAGGGATGGGGCTGGTGGAGGGAGAAGGGGGAGGAGCTGGGATTGACATGTGAAGCATGCATGTTTCTAATTTAAATAAAAAGAAAAAGGGAAAAAAAGAAAGGCAGGCTGATACATGAAGCACCTCACTTGGATGTGTCTGGAGTCTCAGCCACCTGCGTTCTCCCACAAATGGACTGGAGAAAATTTGTCTGGAGCTTCCAGCTGGGTCACAGCTACTTGAGTGTCCCAGACTTAGCAATGGACCTCCTGACAGAGGTTTTCTTTTTGATCAGTTATGTAACTTCAGGAGGGACTCACACTAGGGAAATCAGGGAACACTTGTCTAGCCACCCAGGTCAGCTGAATCAACCTTGGCTGTCAGTGGGGTGACGGTTGTAGCCAGACCACCCACCCTCACACCCTGTGATTCCAGTTTGCTAAACCGACCCTTTTGTCATTGTCCACCATCTTCTGTTATTGGCCGTGTCTTTCTTCTGATGTCGACTTTGTATGGTGTCAGAATAGCAGCTCTGTCTTCTGAGTAACGGAGTAACGCCCACATGGCACATCTGTAAGAGTTAATCTTTATTGTCAACTCAACAGGATCTGGAACCAACTAAGAGACATGCCTCTGGGTGTGTCTGTGAGGCCATTTCCAGGAAGGATTGCTGAGGGGAGAAGCCCACTTTCCAAAGTGGGTGGCACCTTCTGGCAGAGGCCCAGTTATACAGAGGTCTGGGAAAAAGTAAGCAGTGCTGGTGGCCTGCTTGTCCCTGCTTCTTCGTGAGGGTTTCCGTCCCTTTGTGTTCCGTTGTTGTGGCCACCATCCTTCCTTCACTTCAGAACTCAGCTTCTTCCAGCCCTGAATGAGGACAGACCTTTCACAGACAGTCCAGTGTAGACCGTGCAGCCCTTAGTCCCTGTAAGCCACTCTAGGAAACCCCCTTTATAATAGATGTGCATTCTCTTGGCTCTGTTCCCTGGAGAACTCTACCTAGTGTAATGCCTTTTTCTGTCCTTTTACTTTCAGCATCTCTACGTCATCTCTGAATGAAGTTTTATTTCTTTTTTTGTGGATGGCGTATGTGCAGGGTGGCCTTTGTGTTAACTGAGAAGCGGGAACCTCAACTGAGAAAATGGCTCCATAAGATTGGGCCGTAGGAGGTCTTTGGGAGCATTTTCTCAGTTAGGGATGGAGGAGCACAGATCACCATGGGAGGTACCACCCTGGTGGTCCTGGGTGTTGTAAGAGAGTAGGTTGAGCAAGCCACTAAGCAGCATCCTTCCACAGCATCAACTTCTGTCTCTAGGGTCCCGTCCTGCTTGAGTTCCTGTCCTGACTTCCATCAGTGATGAACTATTACCTGAACATGGAAGAGAAATCAACCCTTTCCTCTCCAACTTCTGGTTGTGGTGTTTTATCACTGCAATAGTAACCCTAACTAGGACAGTATATCGAATAAAATAATGAAATTATCTAATGTGTAAGTTACATGACTTTGCATATAGAACATCCCCCCCCCAAATGAACAAAACTGTTAGAGCTAATAAAGTGTTTTACTAAGGTTTCAGGATTTAAAAGAAAAAAAATCAAAACTAAAGCGTAAAAACCATCTGTATTTTTACAAGCCACAAATGAATAAGTCAAGGCTAAATTAAGAAAACAATTGCATTTATAGCAGCATCAAAAAAATAAAACTTGAAAATAAAAGAAGCACGTGGCTTATGCAGTCAAAACCATAGACATTATTTTAAAAAACTAAAGGAAGCAAAATTGAGAGACATTTTTATGTTTGTGGACTAGAGACTGTAGCATGTTAAGATAGGACTATATCTTGAGGTGAACTGTAGCTCAACTCCATCTCCTACCAAATAGACATAATGGTAACCTTAAGATGTACCAAAGACTTAAGTGTAAAACTGTGAGCTTTTACAGGTCTGTACAAGCAGATCTGAGTTCAGATCCCTGCCACCCATAGAAAAAGCCAGGCAGAGAAGCATGTTAGTACCAGGGAGAAAGAGACAAGAGACAAGTCAGCCTAGTCTAGAGGTTCTCAACCTTCCGAATACTGAGACCTTTTAATACAGTTTCTCATGCTGTGGTGACCCCCCAAGCATAAAGTTATTTTGTCACAACTGTAATTTCACCACTCTATGAATCATAATGTAAATATCTGATATGCAGATGGTCTTAGGTGACCCCTGTGAAAGGGTCATTAGACTCTCAAAGGGGTTGTGACCCACAGGCTAAGAACCACTGACCTAGCCAGATCAGTGGGAGATACTGCATCAAAAAAATAAGATGGAGAGTAATGGCACTTAGTCAACCCAGTGTTGACCTCTGACCTGCACAAGTATACACGTACCCATGCATTAATTAACATGTATGCATCGATGCAATCACACACACACACACAAATATGCACACAATGCAATACACAACCATAGGCATCGACTTTTGTGACTTTTTATTCCCAAAACACAAGCCACACAAGAAAAACCAGAGAAATCAAGCATTATCAAAGTTTGACATTAAAAATATTAAAAACATAGTCATAAAATCAGAGGAAATACTTGAAAATCAAACAAAATAAGCTAGTGTTCAGAATACATAAAGAGCACCTATAACTCAACAATAAAAGGACAAATACTGAAATAGGATGGTCTCCAAAAACATCCTAGAAATGACCGATAGGCCTATGGAAAACGATGGAAACTCTCAGGCATCGGGGTGATGTAAATTAAACAACATCTTTGCAAAATGTGCACAGAAATGCTTTGCTGAGTTACTCAAAAAATGGCTACAAAGTGGAAATAACTCCCATCAACGGACTGATGGGTAAATAAGTGCACTATTCTCTCAGAAATGGTTTCTTTTGGAGACAGGGCCACACGTATTCCAGGTTGGTCTCCAGCTTCCTGCATAGCTAAGATGACTTGAATCTCTGACCCTCTTGCCTCCGCCTCCGGAGTGCAGAGACCACAGGTGTTGCCAGCACTCCAGGTTTGCAGAATGGACTATTGTTAAGTCAGGAGGAACTAGACTCCCTCTGGTCACACACAGCAACTTGTACAGCTGTGAAGATACTATACCAAGTGAGCAAAGCCAACCACAAAAGCCACACGCTGAGGGTTCCGTGACAAAAGCCACACGCTGAGGGTTCCATGACAAAAGCCACACACTGAGGGTTCCATGACAAAATGCCTGCAGCAGGCAAGTCTGCAGAGGAAATTGACTCCAGGCCCTGGGACAAGGTGCTCGTGAATGACTTCCGGGGTTATTTATGGATGGGTTGAGGCTGGGTTCCTGTTATGGTGCTTGTCTTGGTGTATGCATCAAATGCCACCAGGATGGACACTTGAAAACGACCATGCTGATGGAGGCCCAGCTGTCCCTGCTGCTGGCTGAGGACAAGGAGGAATCTATTAGACAGTGGGATGCACTTAGGGGAAAGGGCAAACCAGTCATCATCTTCCGTTTCGATGGGCTGGAATGTTACCAGAATAGAAAAAAGAAGACAGAGCATGTAAGTGATGGGGTAGGGTCCTGATGCTGCCCCACATCCATATTCCTGGAGGAAGGGCTGTCAAAGAAGGCTGGGAATCCAGCAGTGCCAGTAGCCTCAGCCATTCTAGGAATGATCCCTTCTGAGGGACCTCACGGGGGACTCACCCAGCCTGTAAATGCCTTCTTAATTTTTCCGGTGTCACGTCACATGATACTAACTTGTCTACAGCCATGTACATGGGTCTGTAAGCAGGCATGCGTGGGCTGGAAAGAGCCACTGAGGCAGGTAGAGGGTGCACTGACAGTACACCTGCAGGCAGGTGTGGGTGTCCAGTGATCCCTAAGGAGGCTGCTCCCAGTATGGTGGTGGCATTTTGGAGATCTGACCCAGTGCATCACAAAGCCCCTGCCTATCCTCAAAGGGGCAGGGGCAGAGAGGAGACCACCAACCAGGGCTGCTTACTTGGGCATCTGTGTTACTGATACTCTATCCCTTGGTTTCCCATTTCTAATGAAGGGACAATGGCAATCCCTGACCCCATGGAGTAGAACATTTTCCTAATTAGTGATTGATGGGGGAGGGCCCAGCCCATTGTGGATGGTGCCATCCCTGGGCTTTTGGTCCTGGGTTCTATAATAAAGCAGGCTGAGCAAGCCATGAGGAGCAAGCCGATAAGCAGCACACCTCCATGGCCTCTGCATCAGCCCCTGCCTCCAGGTTCCTGCCTTGATTGACTTCCTGTCCTGGCTTCCTTCAGTGATGGTCAGTGATGTGGAAATGCAAGCTGAATTAACCTGGTTCTTCCCAAGTTTCTTTTGTCCTGGTGTTTCGTCACAGCAATAGCTACCAACTAAGACGACAAGAATGTTGAGAGCAGTGGAGGTGATCGAGGCCTGGCTTGTGAGGTGTCAGAGGGAAGTGAAGACTTTACAGGGCCTTTTCATGAAGACGCTGCGGTGTCTGGTCAGCTGAGGCTGAAGAATCAGCTGTGATTAAGGGGGGACCAGCATCACTGAGGTAAAATCTTCTTGGAAATGTTTCCTCAGGGTCAGCACACGGAAGCTGTGTTCCGCAAGCCTCTCTCCTGCTGGCAGCTGAACTTGGTGGTGTCACAGTCACCCAGGTGATGCTGGTTTTGAAGGCATAGATGGGCTGTGGAAAGCAGCTGAGGCTTGACACTGTGTGACAGGCCTGGAGTTCCCGAAGAAAGCCTATTGGTGAAAGTGCAGCCTGGTCACAGGAAGGGACCCTAGCATTTTGGAGATGCCAGCACCACGGGACGGGACGACCACCAGGAAGAGCAGCAGAGTGGAGCCAGCCAGGGCCTAGAAGACGAGCTGTGTGTGCTGCAGAGAGCGGAGCTGGAGAAGTGAGCCAAGCCCTTTGGAGGAGCCCGGAAGATGGTGAGTGAATCCTAGATAACTGGATGTTGACTTGTTTACACTTTCGGAGTTTAGGTTTGCTTTAAGATTGTGTCTGTGTCCAGGTTCTTTCCTCTTGGAGTAAGAAGATATTTTTGATTTTACAGGAGCCCACAATTGAGGGATTTTCAATCTTAAGACTAGATTTGTAAAAGACTGAGTTTCTAATTTTTTTAATTTTTAAAGACTGTAAGACTTTTAAAATTTGGAATGTTTATATCAATGTGCGATCTTGGGGAAGAAAAAAGTAGGGGTATGGCTGAACACTGATGTGTTTGTGTGTCAAGCTGACAAGGGGTGGATTGTGCTGACTGGTTCTGTGTCTGCTTGACACAGGCTGGTGTTATCTGAAAGGAGGGAGCCTCAATTGACAAAACGTCTCCATAAGATCTGGCTGTAGGCAAGCCTGTAGAGCATTTTCTCAGTGATTGATGGGGGAGGGCCCAGCCCATGGTGGGTGGTGCCATCCCTGGCTGGTTCTATAAGAATGCAGGCTGAGCAAGCCATGAGGAGCAAGCCAGTAAGCAGCTCCCTCCATGGCCTTTGCATCAGTTCCTGCATCTAAGTTCCTGTCCTTGAATTCCCTGCCCTGGCTTCCTTCAGTGAAAGCCAAAGGATCCCATCTCTTCCCGAGTTGCTTTGGCCATGGTGTGTCATCACAGGGGTAGAAAACACTACCTAAGACAGATGGCTACAGAGGGCCTGGGACCCAGGTAAAGGGTTGAGGTCTGCGCCCCTCCTGCAGGCTGGGTACCCCCAACCCATCTGTGCACCCCCAGCCCCCACCAGCAGGCTGGGTACACCTGACCTCCCCAGCAGTTGCTCCTTGCAGCAAACACCCCCAGGAACAGGGGCAGGATGCTGGCTGTCTCAGAGAGAGACCCCATTGTGTGCAGAGGTGTGGCCCAGCAAACCTGTGTCTGCAGGGTTGGGGAGAAGGGAGGCTTCATCAGTAAAGGCATTGTCCCCCATCCCCAGCTAGGGCAGGAAGTATCAAATCCCAGCTCTGTTCTCTGGAAGAGCCAAAGACTGATGGGGAGGCCCTTTGGCTTCCTGCTGGATCACCCTGGACCTGAGATGGTGGTCAGGCTGTGAGAGAAAAAGGAAGGAAAAGGAGAGGGGGAGAGAGAGAGAGAGAGAGAGAGAGAGAGAGAGAGAGAGAGAGAGAGAGAGAGAGAGAGAGAGAGAGAGAGAGAGGAGGGAGAAGAGGAGAGGTGATTCATTTGTCCCCCCCCCAGAAGCCCCTGCAGCAATCCCCACTCAGCCTTAGCTGACTACCTTGGGCCCCCCCACTAGTTCTGAGGGAAGTCCCTGCAGATGTGTTCTCCTTATTGGACTTATTTGGAGATGTCTGACATGTTCCAAAGAAGGGATGACTCCCAACAGGCAGGAGGAGGGTCTGCTTCCTGTGGGGGAGAGGCCGGCCTCCTCCTGAGCAAGGGATCACCCTGTGACTGTGGGCTAGCCAGGAGATACCCAATGTGTTATTCCTCTTGCTTCCAGAGAAGAAGGACATCAACTTGGGCCTGACCCATGGGTGGCTCCGGGGATGTGCTGCCAAGCAAGGGTAGCTCCTAGATCTTTCTGGGCTCCTGAGGATGTTTGCAGACCCAGGCTGGAGTAGCCATGGGATGTGAACATGAGCCATGCCTCTGTCCCATTTTGCCAGACACCCAGGTAGTATCCAGCACCATGGCTCCCAGTTGATGGCCCCAGGTACCAAGTATGTATGTCATAGCAAAAAGGTTCTACAGCAGGCAACCCAATGCCTCCTCTCAGGCTTTCCCACTACACAGGCAGCTCCTGACCAGGCAGAAGCCACAGAGGAGTCCTAAGGAAGTAAAGTCCTGAAAGCAGAGGGCAGGGGTACCTTATGAGTGTGCTGCTTATGCCAACCACACTGGCATGAAGTTTTCTCTGAAGGGATAGTAGGGCTGGTGGGTCAGGCCTGAGGCTGGAGGAGAATGGCTGTGAGACACGCAGCCCTCACCTTCTACCTCCTCAGGCAACGGCCCTGAAGATGTAGGTTTCTCAGGCCCTGGGTCCAGGTACCCTGCACTGAACCCCCTCCCAGGCCTAGACCACATGGGAAGCTCAGACAAACTGACTCACCTAGAGGGAGTAAGGACTTCCTCCCGGGGATGGGATGGGGAGAGGGTTCTTGTTCCTGTGGAGTGACCAGCTTTTGCCATCAGGAGTGAGAGCTGTGTCACACACAGCGCCTAACATTTCATCTTTGGGGTCTCAAGGTTGGCCAGTACTAGTGCTGGAGCAACGGAATGTGGGGTCCCTTTGAGGGCCATTTGCCTCCACAAAACATAGTGTTTCTCAGCTGTCTCCTCCGTCCTGGCCACAGGAGGACCTGGAATCCCCAGGCTGAACATTCCCCCATGTGTCTGGGATGGCGGCCAGGCAAATGCAAGACTTCCTGATGGCTCCCTTGTGTGTTCCCCTCACCCTGAAGAGCGATTAGCATATTCCAGAGAAGTTCACCAAGGCCCAGGCCACCCTGCCCCGGGTCACGGATGTGGCAACAATTTAGGCAGGCCTGCTAAGGGTCCAGTGCAGCAGCTGTGTAGAGGGTCTGGACCACATATTCCCTCCAACTGGGAAATGATCTCCAGCCACCTCCTTAGGGAGCCTTAGAACCTGGTGTGGGAGCTCTGCACTGGGAGTAGGGTCTCCTCTGTCCTTACTATGGGTGCACCAAATCAGCCTTCCTTGTAGGGCTGCCTTCATGGTCCTCAGGAGCCAGACCTGTGCCTGGTACGAGGCAGGCCCAGGCCCCTCTGTTCCTGTTGACTGGCTTTCATTAAAATCACAAGGCATATGTAAAGTATTCTCATTGGTTGTCATGATGCATTTAAAGATTAAATACTTGAGCTGTTTTTTTAAAAATTACTTGAAAGGATGTTGTAACCAGGTAACCTGCAGTTAAGTAAAGCCCGGTCTTGGGCTTGTCTTGAGTCCCCATGCTCTCCATCTCCACGTCCTATCTTCCTGCCTTTGAGGCGCCATCAGATGGAAATGGCCTTCCTACGGTCACATCTTCAGGGAGGGGGGAGATTTGGGGGAGATGATAGGGACATGGCCTTCATCTGTTTTAGTTTTTCCATCAGAGTTGTCTTTCATTTCATATTCTCTACCACACCTGGGGAATTTTCCTGAGTGATTTTAAATGGCGTAGCTTTCTATAAAATCAAAATCTGCATTTAAACATGGAGAAATACATACACAGAATCCGGAAAGCGTCTAAGATCTGGACCTGTCTCTTCCTGCTGTCAGGTGGTAGAGTTTTGTTCTATTTGTTTCCAAGCATTTTCTTTGAGAACTAGAATATTACATATCAGAGCCCTCATGTTTCCTTGACCAGTTCCCCAAAGTGTGGTCCCCTAAATGAAATAAGGATCACGTTAACACTTTAAAAAATTGTCAGCTTGCAGGATCCCAGGGACAGTAAAAGAAAAAAATCTACACAAAGTTTTTAACAGAACCAAAAAATAGTATTTAGTGAATTCTAAAATTCTCTCAGAACATGATTATGACAAATAGAAATGGAAGGACATGCTCTTGCCCTGATAAAGTGTATTTATCAAAAGTTTATAGGTATGGAACTGTTGGAGTGGTGGGGTTAAGAGCATCCCAGGCAGCTGGAAGCTTGGTGAAGTTCCTACAGGTGGCTCACATCTCCTGGGGAAGGTGAACCCATGCTCAGGGCTCTGGTCCCTAGATCCCCAGAGAGGGATGAAGTGGGGACAGCAGAGATAATGGGCTCCACGTCTCAGTCTTAAATTTGAGTGTAGTATTTGCAGGCAAACCTTTTGCCCTGTCTGTGTTTTCCTAGCCTGTGAGTCTCTTTTGGCTCATGGATATGGCTTGTTTTAGAGTATCTTGTGTGAACAGCATGAACTGACCTTTTATCTTTAATTTTCAAATTGTGAGTTTCATCTACTTACAGTGATGGTAATTTCTTGTGTATTTTAAAGCCTTTTTAAAAAACTCACTTTGTGCTTTGGGTCTTTCTGTTTTCTGGGCTTTACCCACTCACTCCCTGCCATTTTCTCCCTTTTGTTTGCAACTACTGACAGACGTGCTTTTCAATCTCCTTTCCCTTTGTCTCTGGTTTAGAAACTGAGTCCCACATCTCTGTCCCTTCCTGCTAACCACCATTGTCCCTAGGTGGTTTTCTGCTGTAAGCTTACTCAGCGTTTGAATTCTCCAGAATAGAACCCATCAACTTCTTGTCACCATCTAGCTCAGCTTGCCTTTCCAAGAGACGAAACTTCCCACACATCTGTATCACAGGCCAAAACCTCCCACACATCTGTATTTTAGTCCCTGCAGTTTGACCATTTTTCTTGGAACTCATTTCTTGAGGCTGCTCTTTCTAATTGTGCCCCTAGCCCTTGTTGTTAGTCAGCATAGCCTTTGGGGTTTGGTCTCTGTTCTGGTTTACAAGCCACTACAGAGCTGACCAGGGACTACCTGGTGTCCCACTTATAGGCCACAGGGAAGGCATCTCTCAGGAGGTTTGGGGTCTGGGCCAGCTATCTAGACAAAATGGGCTCACATTCCCCTCCCAAGACCTCCCCAACCATCCCACTACAGTTTCAGTTTCCTGTTCAAGGCAGGCACTAGTCCCTAATCAAGTCCAGGTGTCAACAGTCCCTGGTTAAGCATCTAGTTCTGGACACAGCTCCCCTTGTTCTGAGACCACTAAGAAAAGAAAACGGTTATTTTCCACCCATTCACATCACACAGTGGTGAGACAGGAATAGGCTCACAGCCAGCACCCTTTGGGGAACACTGGTACCCTGAAATCTTGGCCAGACTCCTCATCCCTCGTGATGCTTGTCTTGGTCTCTCTGTTCTGTCCCTGAGCTCATTGGACCTGCTGGGACTTACTTCTTTATAGGAAATGGTCAGATTTTGAGTTAAGTTTGGGGCTCCCTTCTACAGAAGTTAGGGGTTCAAGACCTGTA